CAGCAGGCCAAAACCTTAATTTTCCATTGGTTTTTGAGCGACTCTGTGCTTCTCGCCTTTTCTGGCCACGAACGGCCCAATAATGGTCTGCGAGCTTCCGAGGTCGCCTCGAGATGGCGTCCAGGCGGCCCAATGGGGCCCCAAGATGGGCCAATAAAGCGCCAAGAAAGCCAGGGAGCGCCCAAAAGACCCATAAAAGACCTCCAAGAGGGCCCCAACAGAACCACGGGATGCTTCAGAGAGGGCCCGGGAGAGCCCCAACACGGCCCCAGGACGGCCTTAGCCCCCCCAGACAGCCCACGAGGGCCCCAGGACAGCCCAAGAAGGCCCTCCGATGGTATACGAAAGCACCAACAGGAGCTCCGCTCAGTCTTAGAGCCGTCAAATTCATTACACTCTGGTTGACCTGAGCCGTCGTCCTTGGTTCGGCTGGCCCGCGCGCCGAATGGGCCCGCGTGGCAGAGAAGGAAAAGGAGCAGGAGGCGGGACGGAGGAGAAAAAGGAGGAAGAGGAAGGAACGGTGAGGATTGCGAGAAACAGGAGGGGCCCCAGGAAGACGGAAGGAGGGCACGGAGGAGCAGGAGGAGGGGAGGGCAAACGGCGGAAACAGAAGACAGCTTTCATTGGGCCCCGTGCTCTCGCCGAGGCGCCGGCCACATCTCTCATTCAATATCGTGTTGCCGCTTCGCTCGCGGGACTCCCAGCCTCTACCAGGTCAGCATCCCGTCCTCCAGCATGCGGCCGCCGACTTTCCTCTCAATTCTTGACGCTTCGCGTATCCCCACCAGTCTTCGAGCATTTCAGGTGCTCTGTGAGTGAGGCGTCCGTCCTTTCTTCTCCCCTCGTCGCCTCCTGCGCCTGTCCCCCCCTCTGTCCTCCTCACCGCGTTTGGCGGTGCCTCTTCTCGAGCTCTGTGCCGTCCGCGCAGCGTTCCCACCTTCTCGCAGGCTTGGTCTGCGGGTGCTGGCGCCGCAGTGCGACCCCTCACCGGCTTTAATGAGGTTCATTTGGTCCCTCGCATGTGCATTGCGGCGTTGGCCTATGTGCCTTCGTTGCCAATCGTCTCGCGTTGCGCCCCTGTCGAGTTTGACCCGCTCTCTGGAATCGTCCTTAGAGCCGCAGATCAAAAAAGTATCCCCACCAGTGGCTAGGCTGCCGACGCCTGGCATGCTTTGACGCACCTGACTTCGAGCACTTGAGGTGTTCTGTGAGTGAGGCTTCCTTCCTCCCCCCCTCCCCTCGTCGCCTCCTGCGCCTGTCCCCCCTTCTGCTCCTCCTCGCCGCGTTTGGCGGTGCCTTTCCTTCAGCTCTGTGCTGCCCGCACAGTGTTCCCGCCATCTCGCAGGCTTGGTCTGCGGGGGCTGGCGCCACAGTGCGACCCTCCGCCGGCTTTTCCAGTCTGCTGCCGTCTTCCGTTCCCGGGTCGGCTCTAATGAGGTTCATTTTGTCCCTCGCACGTGCATTAAGGCGTTGGCCTACGTGCCTTCGTTGCCAATCGTCTCGCGTTGCGCCCCTGTCGAGTTTGACCCGCTCTCTGGAGTCGTCCTTTGAGCCGCAGATCAAAAAAGTATCCCTACCAGCTGTGTTCGCAAATTCGCTCCGTGCCGCATCCCGGACGCTGCGTCCGCTCCCTGACCTTTGCCTTGGAGCCGCGAACCAAAAAAAAATATCCCCACCAGCCCGTCCAGAATTGATTGCCAGCTTTCCCGAGGCCTGTTGAAGGCCATCCTGAGCCATGCTCGGCTAGAGGCTGTTGGGAGCTATTCTGAGCCATGCTCGGCTATGTCGGGCCATATTCAGGCTGTCTTGAGGCCTCTTGGAGATCTGTCGGAGGCTATCTTGAGCCATGCTTGGCTATCTTGGGCCATTTTGGAGGCCATCTGAGGCTATCTAGGGCTCTCTTGGAGCCATCTTGGGCCAAAAATGGCGGGGTGGAGAATCTTCAGGAGAGGCTGGGAGGCCTCTCGGGGCCGTCTTGGGCCCCATTGTTCAAAAAGAGAGGGGGTCCTCACTTCAGGTCCCCCCCTCGGAGGCTCTCAAACGGCGTCTTGGGGACGTGTTGGAGCGCTCTTTGGAAGCCTCTTGGGCAATCTTGGGGCCGTTTTGGGCCTTCTTGGGCCCCTCTTGGGGCTCTCTTGGGCCATATTGGGGCCATCTTGATGCCTCAGGGGCCCATCGGAAGCGAAAAGACGAGAATGCCAAACACATTGACTTTCCTTAGGCTTTTGAAGGGTTTGGGCTTCTTGGAGGGCGCCGCGGAGGGCTCGAAGGGCACTTGGATCCGTCTTGAGGACTCTTGGAGGTGTGTCGGAGGCTATCTTGATCCATCTTGAGGTATCTTGGGCCATCTTGGAGGCCATCTTGCGACTTGGAGCGCCTCTTGGAGCCATCTTGAGCCGTCTTGGACGCTCTAACGCCTCCATCCCCCCCCCTCCAGGTCCAGGGGAAGGTTACCCCCCCCCGAGCAGGGGAAGGAAGGGGAAGAGAGAAGACCAAACTCGCTATACCACCGTAGCCCTAGAGGGCTGGTGGGACTTCCACCAATTGACTTCCAGCCTCCATCAGCTCAGCACTCCGACCTCTAGCGTCCGGCATCCGACTTTCCACCTTCACCTCCACTCAAGCGTCCACCAACGCTGCACCCTGAGCCCCGCCCCGGGCGCTACCGCGCACTCGCCTCGCCTCGCCTCCGCTCGCACAATTCCCACACACCTCATTGAACAATTGTGTTCTCGCCCGCGCCCAGAAACATCGTAGGTGCAAGGATCAAGATTAGAAGGCGAAGCGCAGCGAGCCTTAAAATCTTGTATATATAAATATATACACAAAACGCCTGCCCCCATATGTCGAAAACGCAGGCCTTGGCGAAAGAGCCTCGGCCAGCCCAGGTGCCCATTTTGAGGGCGGGAGCCGCTGATATCGGCAGAGGGTTCGCAAGCATAGGGCTGTCTCGTGAGGGACTCGGGAACACAATAATCATCATAAGTCGAAGCGGCAGCACGATGATAACGACATCGAAGCCAATCGATAACACATCACCATCTTACGGATCAGAGCTATGCCACGATAGCAACTTCGCCGACACAGCCTGTTGATGCACAGCAGGCGCGAGAGGCCGCACGTACGAATTACATCAAGCTCCAAACAAATGAACTGAACTCCAGAGAACCCGAACGCGACGAACGCAGGAGTGAAGTACCCACCCCCGACCGCCGAGGAACTCCCGGGCACCTGCAGCGACCCGAAGTCGAAGGCATACGTGCGAGGCGGGAATTTATCCGTATCCACCGCCTGGGAACCGACGTCCTGGAGCCCCAGCAAGGGGTGGATATGGATGTATGTTGACCCCTGGGGGGCCCGAATTTATCTATATCCACCGCCTGTGGAGGTCCGCGAAGATCGATCCCATAGGCGGTGGTTATGGATAAATCACCGCCTCGCAATACGAAAACGAGCAAGTCTCGAGAAGAAAAAAGTATCAACCCCAAATGCTGCCAATCAGATACGAAGCAGGGGAGCAGAGAGAATAATGCAGGAAGCGGAACTCACAGAACCCGCCCGCACAACTCTTGAGAACTTCTGCGCGGGACAGCCGAGCAGCCGCGCAATTAGATCCAAGTCGGGCGTGTCCCTCTACAGGAGGAATATTCAAAATCAGTATACATGTAGTCTGGGGACGATGTTTTGACTGTGTTTGGGCATGTGTTGAGCATGTTTGACGATGAAGCATTTTTAACTCATTTTTTCATCCAAAATCCGCCTGTAGGGGGACACGCCCGACCTAAAACTAGATCTACATTCCAGGGCAAGCCAAAGGGCACCAGCCTGACGAAGCGCCGCCTCCAGAGAGCCCTAACGCGACGAGAGAGAGTGTTCAGTATACTCCTCGACCCACACAAAGACTCAGAGCACCTGCAACCACCACGAATCCAAGGTATACGATGAAGCCCCGCCCTCAAAAGTTTACTCAGAAGCATCGGAGCAAGCCAAAGCTCACCTGAAATATGATGAGCAAGGGAGCCCCCGAAGCGCAAACATCACCGAAGCAGATCTTGGAGAAGAGCCATCCCCTTCTTAACCACAGCGATGAAACAACTTCCTCGCCCACCAGAGAAAATGTCCTGGTCGCGCCCCACAGGGTTTCTCCGTTCGACCGAAAACCGTCCTCGTTCGACCGAGGAGCAGTTCTCCGTTCGAGGCCAGAGTTCCCGATTGCCGGCTGGAGTTCCTGGTTTGCCTTTTCACCGCGCGCAGTACACCAGTGGCGGCACCTGAGGCGCCGCCAGGGAGGCCAAGCGACTATCCAAGAGATCCGCCTGGACCTCCGAGAAATCACGTCTACGGTCGGGAACTTTGGAATAGCGTGTCGCCACGGTGGCCCCGGGGACACACGATGCCTTACGAGTGGATAGCGTGTCGCTCCACTCCGCGGTGCGGGAGGCCATGAAAGGCTCGGGGCATTGACGCCTGGGGACCAGGCAGTGGATAGCATGTCGCGACGAAGCGCGGTGGGCCAGAACCGGCGTAGCGACACGCTATCCAAAGTTCACAAATAGCTCGCAGAGGGCTAACCGAGCAGGGTAGCCCCCGAGCTCGTTCCAGTTTCCAGCAGGGAGCATCGCTGCGACCCCTGCGAACTTGCAGCTTGTCCCACCAGACCGTTTCTCAATGTGTCCCAAGACGTGTGCCGCCGAGTTTTCCCGAAGCTCCTCCCCAGAGCTTCCAGAGCTCCTTGGAAGGCTTCTGTCGCCTTGGTGTCCGGGTTTTTGACACCACAAGGAGGAGGAGGAGGAGGAGGAGGAGGAGGAGGAGGAGGAGGAGACGAGCGTAAAGAGGGGTGGAGGAGGAGGAGGAGGAGGAGGAGGAGGAGAATGGAGGCGGAGGGAGGTTGAGGAGGAGTTCCCGACCGTGTGGCGTTTTTGTTCCTCGGTCTCGGCGGAGTCGTGCAGCCCCGGCGAACGTCGGCGGAGACAGCCCGGGGCCCGCCAGCGCTGGGGCTCCTTCCACCCAGGCTGGTCCGCCATCCGGGGGCGCAGCGCCGTCATGATGCTCACGAGCTCCTCGGGCAAGGCCCCCCAGGGTTCCCTTCTGGAGCATCGTTTCACCGATCCCCGTCCTCACTGGCATGGCCTGGGCCCCACTGGCCGATTTACCCCCCCCCTGATGGGGATACAGGCTGTCCCCGTCGAGCTTCGAGGGGCATGTCCCCAGCTGGCTGGGGTGGTGGGATGGTGGGGATCGGGATGGGGATGGGGTAGGGATCGGTTACATCGGCGCTACGAAAGTTTTGACCCTCTTCTTGTTTCCACCAAGACAACGCTGAACGAAGGTTCCAACGATGGGTGTGGAAGGGGAAGGAGGACCAGAGGCCCGTTCCCACCCCTGTATCCGCTACGCTAATAACAGAAAATCTAGTTGACACAATGTGAGTATGTGAGTATGCTTTTGGCTTCCAGCCTTTGCTCCCGATGGGAGCGCGGGACCATCGGCCACCCACCACCTGCTCCACGGCTCTCCAGCCGAACGAGTCAGAAAGGGAGCCAGGTGCAGCCTGCGGCGTGGTGCCCCGAAAGCGACAGCGACCCGGGCCCATACGACGCGCGCCCGCGACTCGCGCCAGCAGCCCGCACTCGCGACCGGCGCCCGCGACCAGAGCCCGCGACCGAGAGCCCGCGGCCCGCGCTGGAGACCGCGCACGGGGCCGGCGACCCGCGCCGTTGCTGGCTGCCTCCATTGGCCGGCGTCTCGCCGAGTGTGCCCGCTCCTGACCCCTGGAGCCACATGGCCAGTGACACCACGCCTGACAAGCAGCAGTGCACGTCGTTCCTGTCTGATCGTGCTCATTCCTAATCGTGCTCGTTCCCAAGTGTTCCCGGCCCCCTAGTGGCCAGGAAGCGGCCCAGGATAGAACAATTACAAGTGAAAGGATCGTGAGCCCCCAAAAAATCAGAGAACTTCCGAAGAATTAGAAAAATTAACAACGTGTACGCAATCAGGAGTGTTTGAGCCAATCTGCGCCTGAGCGCCACCGTGACTACGAGCACCAAGCCGCCTGCGGGACCACCTTTCCAGTGAACGCCACTCCTGACAAGCAGCAGTACGCACTCAGGAGTGTTTGAGCCAAACAGCGCTTGAACACCACCGTGACTATGAGCACCCAGCCGCCTGTGGGACCACATTTCCAGTGAACGCCACTCCTGACAAGCAGCAGTACGCACTCAGGATTGTTTGATCCAAACAGCGCTTGAGCACCACCGTGACTATGAGCACCCAGCCGCCTCCAACCATCTGTCGACAGTCAATCCCACCACCCTTGCATTCCTCATCTGCCCACCCAATCCTCCCGCCTTCGTTTACCTTTCCACAACTTGCTACCTCTTCTCTCCATCCTTCCTCCCTCCAACCCCTTCCGTCCCTGGATCCCTCAACCCGTCAATTCATCATCACTCCTTCCCTCCATCCTCCCTCCCTCCCTCCCTCCGGAATCCATCCAGCAATGAATTCGTCCCTCCTACCTCTTTCATCCATCTCTCCGTCGTCCTTCATCGCTCATCCTCTCATTTGTCCTCGCTCCATCCCCCGACACATCCACCCACACGGGTTTGCTGACTGGCTTCCTCCTTCCTCCCTCCATCCCACTTCCCATCATCCCTCCTGCATCGTCCCTGCTCTCTCATCTCTTCATGCCTTGTCAGTCCTGCCTGCCTGCCTCCATCGATCCCTCCTCGCATCCGCCTCTCCTCACTCCTCTCTCCCTCAGTCCTCCCTCCCTCCCTCATCAATTCCTCCGCCCATCCCTCCCTCCTCGATCATCCCTCACACCTCCTCCCTCCTCCCTCCATCCGCCCGTCCCCCTCCTTCCGTCTGCCCGCCCTGGTCCTCCCTTCCTCCTCCTCTCCTCATCCTCCTTCTCCTCCTCCCCCGCCTCATCTTCATCTGCCTCTTCATCTTCCTCCTCCTCCTCCTAATTACCTCCGTTCCCTCCTCCGTGGAAAGATCTGCGAACATCCATCGGTATGCGGTTCAGTCCCTCACGGCATGTTGCTGCAATTTAGTGCCAAGGCAACTCGCCTGGGGAACTTTCTGCATGGCCTGGGGGGACGCGAAGCGTCCAGCATTGTAGGCTGGCGACTGCACTTCGCCATAGCCCCAACTGTAACTTCATTTTCACATGTCCACGAGGCGGCAACCTGGAAGAAACGCCTACTCCACCCTACCGACGCATCTGATGGTGCAGCGACGAAGAATATCTTCACGCTCCCTGCGGGCGGCCTGCACTGGAGAAAGCCGCACGGGGGAAGAGAGCCTCGATCCTGCACCGGACAGGTTCCGACTCGTGTATTGGAGGGAGTCCGGGGCGGGAGCGCCATTCCGAAATCGAACAAGAAAGGTTCGGAATCTGTTTTAGAGGAAGTCCCGAGCGTGAGCGCCATTCCGAAATCGATCACGACATGTTCGATTTCTGTTGTGGAGGAAGTCCTGGGCGGGAGCGCCATTTCGAAATCGAGCCAGGGTTTCCAATTCTAGTTTGGAAGAAAGCTTGGGCGGGAGCGCCATGTCGACGTCGAGCCCGAAAGGTTTCGCGGGAGCGCCATGTCTGATTCAAGCTGAAGAGGTGCCGACCTCCTTTGTCGAAGAAGTCCTGGACGGGAGCGCCGTTTCGAAATCGAGCGGGAGCGCTATTACGAAATCGAGCCCGAAAGGATCCGAGTTTTGTTTCGGAGGAAGACCTGGACGGGAGCGCCATTTCGAAATCGAGTCAGAAAGGTTCCGAAATCTAGTTTGGAGGAAGTCTTGATCGGGAGCGCCATTTCGAAATCGAGCCCGAAAGTTTCGGAATCGTTCGAAATGGCTTTTTTGAGGAAGTCTCCAGCGAAACCGTCATTTCGAAATGGCCACACCGTCTGGCATTTCAATGTTTTGAATAATTGACCAAAGATTTCGGAATTGTGGTTTTCGCTTGAGACTTCCTCCCAACAAAACAGTTTCGAACGATTTCGAAAGTTCCGGGTTCGACTTCGAAACGGCGCCCGCGCCCAAGACTTCCTCCAAGAAACGATCTCGACTGGATTTCGAAACCATCGGGCTCGAATTCGAAAGGGCGGTTCCGCCCGAGACTCGAGCAAAACAGTGCTTGAGCATATCATTGTACTGAGGCCCCGCGGCCTCATGAGCCTCTTTGGCGTCTCCTCTCTTGTCGCGCGCGCAACGCCACTGACAGCATTGTACCGGGGCCCCATCACCTATCCATGCGGCCCAAAGACACATAGAGAAATACACACAAATAAAAGGATCCCCCATAGTTTCCCATATGTTCTGGATTTTCGTCTTCCCCCCACTGCCCATATTTTCCCATAATATTCCTGGGGGTCGACGATCAATTGTGTCTGTGTGTTTCGTTTCCTCCTGAACCTAACGGGAGGCGCTGCATGTTGGCCGAACTTCCGTGGCGGCGAAGTCATCGATACCCTGACTCCTGACCCCATGCGGCGTCCGAGCCCGTCCGGCGCCCGGCGGGGCGACGACGGCGTCGACGTCGACGACGACGTCGACGTCGACGACGACGACGACGAGGGTCGCACCTGGCCGCCACTGGGCGGGCCCGGGCTCCTCGCCCGCGGCCCTGTCCCAGAACGCCGCCGGTCGGGCGCAGCACCTGCCCCGCGCCGGGCCGGCGAGGCGGCGGGAAGAGAGGGGGACGGCGTCTGGCGGCGCGCGCACCGGTGGGTATGGGGAGGGCTCCCTCCGCGTCCTCCTCCGCGTCCTTCTCCTTCTCCTCCTCCTCCTCCTCCTCCTCCTCCTCCTCCCTCCATCCCTCCCTCCCTGCCTCCCTCCCTCCCTCGTCCCTCCTCCTCCTCCTCCTCCTCCTCCTCCTCCTCAATTTCTGTTCCTTGTACATAACTTCTCCCTGTCACGCCCTGAAATCAGTTTTTAGGGCAGGCCGGGCGTTTCGCCCGAGGCTTCCTCAACATTTCTGGCTCTGAAGCTTAAAAATTGGCAGCCGTTTCACAGATGGAGGGTGGGCCGTTTTCAAAATGTGGCTCTCGCCTCAGCGCCGCGCACACTCGTTAAAAACAATTGCACGAGCTTCACGGATTGAGGGCGGACCATTTTTAAAATGTGGCTCTCGCATTAGCGCCGCGCACATTCGTTTCACATTGGAAAAAATTTCACGGATTGAGGGCGGTTCCTTTTCAAAATGTGGCTCTTGTATTAGCGCCGCGAACATTGGTTTTAACAAGTTGCAAGAGTCTCACGGATTCCCATGATCAACGTACCAGAATTTGTTTCGGAAGAATTCAGGATTACGCTGGTACAACAGTTAACGTTAATTCGCGGTGCTGAAGTCCCAGGAACGGCGTTCTGGCACGATTCAGGATCGTCAAGACGCAACAGTCAGGTTGATCCGTGGCGTTGGAATCCCGAGAACAATGTTTTGGCATGCTTCAGGGTCTTCATATGGTTGTCTTCCAATTAGGCAGTTCCCCCAATGGAAATGAACTGTTGTAGGGGCCTATGAAGAGGAAGCTTGGTGGGAGGGTTTATTCCAACATCGTTGACGACTCTTGGGTTTACACTGGTCCTCCTTCTCCTCCTCCTCCTCGTCATCATCATCATCATCAGCATCAGCATCAGCATCATCATCATCATCATCAGCATCATCAGCATCATCATCATCAGCCCTCCTCCTCCCTCCTCCTCCCTCCTCCTCCCACCTCCTTCTCCTCCTCCTCCTCGTCCTCCTCCAAGGCGCGCTGCGCGCGGGGGGGGGAACAAGGGGGTGGAACACACACACACACACAAACACACACACAAACACACACACAAACACACACACACACAAACACACACACAGACACATGCGCGCGCACATGGGCTAACACACGTCCTGAGGATCATCGATAGGGGGGAGGACTTCTTAGAAGGAGGCTGCTTCTTTGAAGGCGCCGGCCCTGCATCTACAGACAAGGCCCGCGCATTCTGACAAGCAGGGCTGCTTCTGAGAGGCATTCCCCTCTGCCCCTGCAGTCGGACCTAAGGTAGA